CTGGATACCTCGACACGGGCGGGGTGTCGGACTCTGATTGATGGAGGTAGCTACAAGTATGTATCAGGCATGCCCCTTCGCCAGCGATGCGTTCAAGCCGTCGGCGGAGGTCTGTCGAGAATGCACGTATCGGAATTTGTGAATATACTTGGACTCGGGCGGCAAATGCTCGGTCGGGACTCTGGTTTTGCCGTCCGGAACTCGCCATCCCGACTCGGAATCACCGCCTATCTGCGACGCAAGGCGACCCCTGGCTTGAAATGATGAATGATGCCAGGTTGTGCCACTGCCAGACCAGCATCAGCCTTCGCTGCCAAGTACGATGGCAGGCGTGCCAAGTGCTGGGTGGACTGTATAAAACTAGCCGGCGTCGTATCACGCATCGACGGCGCGCGCGTGATCACTGGGAGCAATCACTTGCACACGCGAACGCGGGACAACATGTGGTGAAGATTTAATTATTAGCGGGTGTGGCTGTGGTGTGGTAATGTGGGGAAGTGGAGTGCAGTGAGGGTGGAGTGCAGTGAGGGTGGAGTGTCCTAGGGAGCACGCCACCGCGCGGGGTCGTCGTGGATGGATGTTCGGTCGTTGTGGCGAGTGCGCGAAGGAGTTGCCTTTTCATGTGTCTTATCTGTGATCCGGGTCTGCACATGCGCTTGGAAACACATGCCATGGGTGGGCACTATTGCTAGTATGGGTCACGCGACCGACGGGCCCCCGCCTCCGGTACGTACTGCATGTGGCCCCGACGGTCGCTGTGCTCGGGGTGCTGCCGCCTTACTGCCCCTCACGCCGCCGCCCGCCTCGGAGACAGACGCAGACACAGGACACAGATACGTGTGTGAAGAAGCTGCGAAGCAGCGAGATCTCCGGTGGTACCTGACAGTGTATCTGGATTCTGGTTCTCGAACCCCATGCTGCCGCTTCAGTCGTCGCTTCATGGGGATTCCGCTTATCGATCAGAGCGACCGCATGGAACCTCGAGTTTACCGTAAATCTACCGCCACCGGCCCACGCCAACTAGCCAACTTTCCCTCGGCATATTCGCATACAAGAACCCGACCCATCAAAGTCTCTCTTTAAGCACCCCCCACGCCAGCTCCCAGCTCGTGTCGCTTCCTTTGCTTGTCGCGCTCGTCGCCGCCGCCCCCCGACGCCGCAGCACTCCACTATGTCCGACCTCGTAGTAGACGCAGACGGCAAGCAATCCCCCCCGCCCTCCCCGCACGACAATGAGAAGGGCCTGACGGCCGCGGAGATCGACGCCCTCGAGGCCGCCGCCCTCCCTGAGTTCGACGACCCGAACCTCGACAAGGAAGCCGCCATCGCCGGTCTCCTCGAGGACGACTCGCCGTACCCCGAGGTGCGCTCCGCCGTCGCCAACACCGACGACCCCACGATCCCGGTAGCGACACTTCGCGCGTGGACCCTCGGGCTCTTCTGGGCGATCATCATCCCCGGGCTGAACCAGTTCTTCTTCTTCCGGTATCCCGCGGTCACGGTTACGAGTGTGAGTGGCAGCTGTCTTGTAGTATATGCTTCGTGTCGCATTTATGCTTCCTTGTACTCATCCGCCTTGTTTCGCTTGCTGACGCGCACCCGCTCCAGATCGTCGCGCAGCTGCTCACCTTCCCCCTGGGCCGAGCCTGGGCTCGCGTGCTCCCCAACATCAGCCTTTTCGGCATCCATCTCAACCCCGGTCCGTTCACCATCAAGGTGCATACCGTTTTTTCCTTTATCAGTCTCCTGCGCTTGCTAACGCGCAACAGGAACACGTACTGATCACGATCATGGCCGGTGTTGGGGCCGGCTCTGCCTATGCGACCGACATCGTCGCCGTGCAGCGCTTCTTCTACAACCAGATCTTCAACTTCGGCTACCAGTGGATGATCGTTATGAGCACTCAGCTCATCGGATTCTCCATTGGGGGCATTGCACGAAGGTTCTTGGTGCAACCGCCGAGCATGAGTGCGTACCTATTCCAACTTTTTTCCCGTCTTGTCATTTTGATCCGCATTTGATTGACCGCGCTAATCAGTTTGGCCATACAACCTCGTGACCTGTGCGCTCTTCAACACGCTGCACGCGCAGCAGTACGCCGGTGTCGGTTCGCGTGGCGGTTATTCGCGCGAAAAGTTCTTCTACCTCGCGTTCGCCTGCTCCGCGACCTGGTACCTCGTCCCCGGATACCTCTTCACAGGCCTTTCGTTCTTCGGGTGGGCGTGCTGGATCAGGGTGCGTTTCCTTCTTCTTCTTCATACTGAATAACAACTCATGCCACCCATAGCCAAATAATGTCGTTGTGAACCAGCTCTTCGGCGTAAACACCGGGCTCGCGATGGGCTCGATTACGTTCGACTGGTCGCAGATCACGTACATCGGTTCCCCGCTTGCGACGCCCTGGTGGGCCGAGGCGAACATTGCCGTCGGATTCGTTTTCTTCTTCTGGTTCCTCACGCCTGTAATTCACGTGCGTTTCTTTCTCCGCCTTGCCATTTCTGCGCCCAGCGGCTGACGCCACGCTCCAGTTTACGAATACCTTGTACGGCAAATACTTGCCGATCTCCACCAGCGGCTCCTTCGACAACACCGGCGCCGCCTACGACGTCTCGAAAATCCTTAACGACCAACTCGAGTTCGACGAGGAAAAGTACAAGGCTTACTCGCCGCTCTTCCTCAGCACGACTTTCGCGATCTCGTACGGCCTGTCGTTCGCGAGCATCACCGCGACGATCACGCATGCATTCCTCTTCTTCCGCAAGCAGATCTGGACCCAGTCCCGCCGCGCAATGCACGAGCAGCCGGACATTCACGCGCGCCTCATGTCAGTGTACCCGCAAGTCCCCGAGTGGTGGTACGCGATCATCTTTGTCACGATGTTCGTCTTCGGCATCGTCGCTATCGAGGTGTGGGACACCAAGTTCCCCGTTCAGTTCTTCATCCTTGCGCTCGTCATCGCTTTCGTGTACATCATCCCGATCGGCATGATTCAGGCGATTACGAATCAGCAGGTAGGCCTTAATGTCATCACCGAACTTATTATCGGGTACGTGCCGTGTTACTCGCGTTGTACGCTGCTGACGCGACGGCGCGCACAGGTACGCGCTCCCCGGGCGCCCCATTGCGATGATGATGTTTAAGACGTGGGGCTACATCACGATGGCGCAGGCTCTGACTTTCACTTCGGACTTCAAGCTCGGGCACTACATGAAGATCCCTCCTCGCCAGATGTTCCTGTCGCAGGTCATTGCGACGGTCCTAGCCGGCACCGTGCAGCTCGGCGTGCAGTCGTGGATGTTCACGAACGTGAAGAACATCTGCAACAAGGAGCTCGCGGAGAACTTCTGGTGCCCCAGTACACAGGTCTTCGGGACGGCGAGTATCATCTGGGGTGTCATTGGGCCTGCGAGGCAGTGTGCGTTTCCTTTTCTCTTCCGTCCTCTCTTTCCATTTCCCGTACTGACGCTGTCGCAGTCTCGAAGGGCCAAGTTTACTACCCCCTCACGTTCTTCTTCCTCATTGGCTTCCTCTGCCCATTCATCTCTTGGTTGTGCACGCTCCGCTGGCCCAACTCATGGCTGCGCTACCTCAACTTCCCTGTCATCTTCTCTGGGACTGGCTTGATCCCGCCCGCCAACAGCAACAACTACGCCCCCTGGGTTATCGTGGGCTTCGTCTTCCAGTACGTCATCCGCCGGCGTCACTTTGCATGGTGGACAAAGTACAACTGTACGTCCTCGCGTCCTTTTGACATAATGGGATCAAACTGACGCGGCGCACACAGACGTCCTTTCTGCCGCACTCGACTCGGGTGTCGCCGTCTCGGCGGTGCTCATCTTTTTCATCCTGCAGTTCCCTATGGACGGCAACATTGGTCTCCACACCATCCAGTCGTGGTGGGGCAATACGGTGTGGCTCAACACTGCGGACGCCGCCGGGACCCCACTGATCCAACTTGCCGTCAACGCAACGTTCGGGCCCGCGACTTGGAGTTAGGCAGCGCCGCGATTTTGTAGGAGTAACTTAGGGGCATGGGATAGTGTACGTACGGCAAGATCATTAAAATACTTATGAAAATCGTCTTACTCTTCTGTTGGCTGTGAGTGAGAGTGCGAAGGCAATTGGGTCCTGCGTCCAACGAGTGGAGCTTCGACGAAGACCCACGCGGAGTGCAACCTTTTCCGTTTGCGGAACCATGTGCTGTCTGTGCTGTCACATGGGTCGCATACCTGTCCATGCGGTCCGTGAGCGAGACGCATGACCTCGAGGAGCACTCCACACACTGGGGCTTCTATGTGCATGTGAGCCGCGAAATTCGGTGACTTGTTGTCCTCGCCGGCTGACACTGACAGGTGCATCGATTCCTGGCTATAGGCTGGCACCGTGAGCAGTGTGTACAACATATGTCTGGCATGCGTGTGCTCTCAGCCGACGAGAAAGGAATGGCGTGCCCAGAGTCTGAAATGAGTCGATTCTCGAGGGATCTGGACTCCCATGAGCGTGATAATGACGAAGGCTCTTGACTGAATCGGTCGCGTCGTAGATGTAGCCAATGACGAATTAATTGCTTTCTTCCAAGGTGGGGCCGGAGCCACCTTGGATCCTTAGTATGGAGTCGACATTCATTTGGTGTAGTGTGCCGCACCTAATTGGGCTCGCCAGCGCTTGCAATGTGCCACTGTATGACAGGCGTGGAGTGGAGACTGACGTGGGCGGTGACGGGTAGAGGAAGTTCCGTGGATCCCAGAGATAAGGAATGAGAAATGCATATGAATTCATACATCGTTTGCACTTGCAATAGTCACCAGTGGAGGCCCAGGTACATATTACTTACGAGAAATTTTGGCATTGTTCAATAGGAATACAGTGATGTCTCTACGGCCACAGTGCTGGACTTGAAGGTGGGTCGCAGGTCATTTTTTCGGTTGGGGCAGGATGCCAGTGAAGTACAAATAGGCATTTGAAACAGCTCGAAGCCTATCTTTGCGATATTCTTCCTCAGCCCTGTGGTCTAATGGTACGACGTCGCCAGACACGGACGGAGACTGCGAGTTCGATTCCCGCCGGGGCAGATCTATTTTGCTCCTCTTTCCTTGACAGTGACATGGACGTCGAACGCAAAGATGACTGTAGACAACTCAGAACATTGATACAGCGCCACGTGATGTTCATAATGTAACAGCGGCCGGGCTCGCTACAGTAAACTACAACTGTGACATTTTGAGTTCAATCCATATTTTCTTTTCAGGGTATTCAACGGTACATTCATCATACATTTCTACTTAACATGAACATCCAGGTAGTACTTGTACATGCAGAAGAAACTTCTGTCTTTATATGCACAGCTTCTTTGTAGGGGAAAGCGCTTTAAAGACTGCCTTAACAGCGCTTTTTTCTAGCCTTGCGTTTGCAGGGCGTAGCCGGGCGCATCGTTTGCTCCATCTGGTCCTCGGCAGGCTCGGCAGGTTCGGAGGCAACCGTGCGAGAACCTGCAAAGAGATGATAGTTTTGGCATTCGAAGCGGGCTAGCAAAAGGAAGCATTGATTATGAGTATGGGCGTGAAGGGGATGTGTCAGTAAATTCTCAAAGGGGGGCATTGTATCGAACCCTATACTCGTACCTCGTGAGTCATGTGTTGCAATCAAACCTGGCACATTCGCGTAGGTTGTTGAGTAGAACAATGCAACCGGATTTCGCTTAGATTTCGCTTATGTGTTTAGCGCTGTCTATTGTCGCGAAGATTTTATGCCATCTTACTAGAACTTTCATCGTCTTCATTGTTCAATGCCCAATTTCGTTTAACAACAAGAATTTCACTCCCAGCGTCTCTAGACTTCCAGAGCTATTAGACTGTAATCGTTACAAGTAGCCCCGGCATCATCAAGATTCATTTATGGTTCTCCGACGAGAGCGCGGCGTGTATGCTCGAGAAATGTTTTTACTACCTCGTGCCACCCTTTTGTTTTGGCGTCTAGCACTCTGAATCAAAGTTGGTTTCCGTTTATTTCCTTATACTGGCAAGATTAGTAGAACTTATTGGCATAGCGCGTAGCTGTTACGGTTTTTTCCCCATATCAGGAACTTGCCAACCTCCACGTGACCTAGGGCAACTATCATACTCTTAACCGTTGCCGTTAGCGAGTTCGGAATCTAGGAATGCGCTGTTTATTACGGCATCAGAGACAGGAACGATGTGAAAGAATAAAACAGAAGTACTCGCGGAACGATCATGGAAGAAGGCGTTCGGCCCGGCTCAGAGACAAACCTTGAGCTAAATTTATAGGTATCATTCCAAGTCAAGCTGCCAGTGGTGGATATGCGGTGGCTTTATCCCTTCTCTTCTGCCACCATGTCCACCACTAGCTCCACTAGTAAACTACCGGCTGCCTCTCACAATCGGTTGCGGTGTTGAGCATCGCACAGCGCTGATCGCCGGCGGAGCCCCTAACCGCGTCATGCCGCGGCATTAAATCACGTTTGTCGCCGGCTCCGTGTTCCAAGACACCGTTGAGTCGAAACAAGTCGAAGCATCGGATCAAACCCAGACGCCGTTCCCGATTCAAAACGCCGTGAATCAAAACACCGTCCGGAACACGTTCGTTCCAAGGCACCGGTCCATTCCACGCATCCCCGGCCTTTCGAGCGTTCCGCCTTACGTGTGTAGGGATCAAAATGCATAGTTCCCGTGCACCCCGCCGCCACTGTTTCGTTCCTTTCACTCAATTATTGATTTGTTTATTTATTCTTCATATGGGCACTTTAGATATATATTTACATACAAGTTACTGCTTTTAGATCTTTTCTCAGAACCTTTACCCATTTATCAGGACACTACAGACTTCGCACGGCTTTCGGGAGTCACTGACTCACATCCGGAGGTCACACACGTGCATTCTGGATTGACTCAACCTCCGGAACGGCCTTACACAGCTCCGCACGTGCGCAGTTTCATTTCATATTTACCATATTTAGTTACCTCTCCATTCTCCCGGACCAATTAGTTTATTTTATTTATTATCTAATATCTGGACCTCACGGCTATAAAAGCTGGGTGGTTTACCAGGTAGAATAGAACATTTTCACCCCTCAGTTGCGAGTGAGTGATTTATTTCTCACCAGTTTGTGTCCCTCGTCGTCTTTTATCATTGTCTGTGTCCCTCGTCGTCCTCACCATTGTCCCTCATCGTCCCCACCGTCTCTGAGCAGCCTTTGTCGTCGCTGCCGTCGTCCTCCACCCTCGTACCTTGCCGCTGCGTGTTTGTTGTTTTGACCTTGGTCGGAACACCTCGCATTTATCACCTGACCTGCTGCCCTTTGAGCGGCTCCCCCCCCCAAAACTCACACATTTATTTTTAGTTTTCCTTTCCCGCTCTTAGCCGCGCCGCAGGCATATCATATTTGGAGCCCACCGCGAGGGGTTCCATTTAACCATTGCTTCAAGCTCGACACGTAGCCTTCGCCCCAACTTTCTTCGTACACTTCGTGACGAGCTCCGTGCTGCTGGTGAACGAATTGACGAGTTCACCGACAATTCAAACCACAGTCCTAGCTCTGATACAGAAGATTTATTAATCCCTGTTCCCGAGCATTTAGCTCAACACAATAACCTTCCCCCAATCAATCCTAACTCCCCTACCTTTACACGCTTCTTTCAACTAACCCCGTCACCGTCACTTTCACCTCGCACCCCCAGTCCTTCGAACAGTATACATATGGCCGCTGTTGTGCCCCAGATGCCTGCCCGTGGCGAACGGGGCGCACCGAGCTTTGATTCGTCGAAGCCGCGCGAACTTTCACGCTACTTCAAAGAGTTGGAGTTTCATTTCACGCGTGCTGCTGTGACAGACTCTGATGCTAAAAAGCAACATGCAACGCGATTTCTCAGTGTTGATGACCAAGATGTTTGGGAATCATTACCAGAGTTTGATGCCGCGCATAGCTATGATGAGTTTAAAGCGGCGGTACTGAAACTCTATCCCGGCACAGATGTGGATAGAAAATTCACACTTGCTGACCTCGATGCTCTTATTGGGGAATATGCTCGTGTTGGAATTTTATCCCGTGGCGATTACAGCGAGTTCTATCGCCAATTCCTTGTGATTACCAAGTACTTGATAGCTCGTAACCGCTTGTCAGGTGCAGAACAAAGCCGTGCTTTCCGCCGTGCCATTGCTCCTGCTAGTCTTTGGAGCCGTGTCCATCAGCGCCTTCAAATTAAGCAGCCAGATGTTCACCCAGATGACCCATACAACATAGCCGATCTTCATGAAGCTGTCGAGTTTGTGTTAGCTGGTACCCCTGCTGCACGTGTTGCCAATAACACGGTGCCACCCGCTGCCATGTCTTCGGACGTTAAACAGGAACCTGGTGTAACCAACATTCTCGAGTCTATCAATGGCTTGATGAAAGTCCTTATCGCGCAACAACAGCCTTCCCGTTCTCGTCCGGGCCCTGTTAATTCTCAAAATGACTTGACCTGCAGTTACTGCAGTGAAACAGGGCATTTTATTAGCAAGTGCCCTCATGTTGACGAGGATATAAAAGCTGGAAAGTGTAAGCGTGATAACAATGGTCGCGTAACACTTCCTAGTGGTGCCTTTGTTCCCCGTCGCATTGAAGGCCGTAATCTTCAGGCACGTACTGAAGAATGGCATCGTCAAAATCCCGGTCAGCTTGCTACTGCTCAACTTTGGTTATCGGTTGCTCCATCGGGTCCCAGTTCCCCTTCTACCACCGCTGTCCCCTCTCCGCCTGCAAATGCATTTATGCTATCGGATGAAGAGCGCATTAGAAGTTTGGAAAGCGAGATATTTGCCCTACGCACCCGTGCACAAGCCCGCCGTGCCGCTGCAGCCGGGGAGCCAGTTGAACAACCTGAGGAGCCTGTCCGCGCTTCTCCGCCACCTCCTGTTGCTCCCACTGCTCCTACAAGTGCACCGTCGACAACTCCCGGAATTCTTCCCCACCCATCACAGAATCGTACTGTGGCACCCCCGTCCAAACAGCCCGAGCACCCTTTTGCCAATGCCCGTGATGCTGCTTATGCACCTCCGCGTGATCGTAATGTTGGTGCACGCCCTACGATTCCAGTTCCTGGAAAGAAATCAGATCCTGCGTACCGCACTACCGCCCCGATCTATGATGAAAAAGTTGCGACTGTTGTTTTCGACCGTTCCATGGAAACTCCAGTCACTCTGACACAAAGGGAACTATTTTCATTATCGCCGGAGGTCCGTGCACAAGTGCGAGATGCCACGACAAGTCGCCGTGTATCCCAGAACTCAAAAGACAAGCCATCTGTTCATTTTGCGCCACCTGCCGACCAGCTGCTTGTTGATGCGCTGCCCCCTGGTGATGATATTTTTGATTCACTAGATGAACAGCGAGCCAAAGATGCACGTAACAATGCCTTTTTGGATTCAATGCCCGCAGCATTTGTTCAGACAACGCACGGCACGATTCCAGCAAATGCGACCATCATCCCCGATCCCTACGAGTCTTATTTCACATCTGGGACTTTACCTGGAGACTTGATTGTATCGCTCGAGTCCTCGGCAATCCGGTCAATTTTGCCAGTTGTTGACAACCAGCAACAAGTGGAATGCATTATTGATGGTGGCTCTCAAATCATTGCAATGTCCGATGTCATCTGTCATGATTTAGGCCTTCCCTATGACCCCCTCATAGTCTTGCAGATGCAGTCAGCCAACGGTACTGTAACGCCATCTCTTGGCCTTGCCCGCAATGTACCTTTCCGGATTGGTGACATTACCTTGTATCTCCAAGTTCATGTGGTTCGAAATGCTCCCTACGACATTTTGCTTGGCCGCCCCTTCGAGGTTTTGACAGAAAGTGTAGTGCGCAATTATTCAGACGAGAAGCAGACAGTCACTATCCATGATCCAAATACTGGGAAAGTGGTTACTGTGCCTACTGTGCCCCGTGGCGCCCCACGCTCACGTAAACAGGGTTTTCAGCACTCGAGGATTTGATCCCGGATCAAGGAGAGATTGCTCTCGTCATCGCCTCTGACCCGAATAATCCTGGCACTGTCATTATTGAATCCTCTGC